GATGATGATGATGATGATGATGATGATGATGATGATGATGATGATGATGAGGAGGAGGAGGAGGAGGAGGAGGAGGAGGAGGAGGAGGAGGAGGATGAAGAGGACGAGGAGAGTGAGTAGGACGAGGAGAAGAAGGAGGATAATCAGGAGCAGTAGGAGGAGGAAGAGGAGGAGGAGGCGGAGGAGGAGGAGGAGGAGGGAGGAGGAGGAGGAGGAGCAGGAGGAAGAGAGCCTGGAGGAGCAGAACGAGATGGAGGAGGCGGAGGAGGATGAAGAGGAGAAGGAGAGGCCAGCCAAGAGGACCGGGAGGAGGAATAGGAGGTGGAGAAAGAGGAGGAGGTCTGAACTCTGCGGCGGCGAGAAGGCTGATGACCGAGACCCGCCGCGCCTCCCTGTGGCCTCCGCCCCCGCCTGCCTCGCAGCAGCCCGGTCATCGCCGCGCGGCTCGGAGGCTCACAGGCCTCACGGATGGGGTCGGAGGATCGCGCTGTATCGCCGATGCATCGGCGATGTGGCTCGATGTGGAGCCCGATTTTCTCCACGCCCACGTCGCCGACACTTCGCCGACGTCGCCGATGCATCGCTGATGCATCGGTGATGCATCGACTATGCGTCGCGATCCTCCGAACCTATCTACTCTGATCCCATTTGAGAGGCCTCTGGAGGGGCGGCCGCGTTGCGTTGATTTTGCGGGCAATGCTCGGACAGGTATTTCACGAACGGGGGCGTTCGTTGGAATGTGTTTGTGCGGGGCCATAGGCCAGCCGTTTCAGGATCAAGTTTATGATGGGGGTTCAAGTGGTTCGCGTCTCCAAATGGCTCGCGTTCGTTTTGGGTATTCGGCTCGCGGGGACGTGGGACTCGCTGTTTTGGTTTTCGCGATTCACGTGATCTGGGCAGAGATTGGCGTGCACCGCGAATCCTTCTTCGACATGGTGCTGGCGCAGGGCTTTCTGCTGACGTGTTCGTGCCATTCGATTTGCGCCGAAGCAGAAGGTTGTCGCTCACATGCCTGAGATCCTGCTCTCGGTTGCCCCACCTGCCCTTCACCGCATCCTTCTTTGGCAGCCAGGCAATGTCTGCGCATGTATGTTGCCTCGGCGATGCCAGGTGCCGTCGGGATGTTTCGCGATCGGATTAGCGCTGGGGCGGTGGCGCATGCCGACCCTGTGTCGTCGAGCGCGTCACGTTGTGGCGAAAACTAGCGCCCACCCCGAGGGGCTCCACAGGTGTTTTCCGCTTCCGGTCCGGATTGATGGCCCCCCTTGCGCACCGCACGCTGGCACGAGGAACGCCTCCACCCTTGAGGAACGCCGGCCTCTTCGCGAAAGCACTCGGCATCAGGGGCGGTAAGCCGAGTCGGCGCTACGGCCACGTCGTGACACTTGGCCAGACGCGGGGCGAGCCGGGTCGGCTCCAAGTTCGGGAGCGGCAAAGAGGGGGGTGATGACTAGAGGGGGTGGATATCATGGCGTGGGCCATGATATCTCCCCAGATCTCATGGCGCCTCTTCCTACTTCATTACGTCCCTGGCCCCCCCGCTGGGCCGCGCACATGCCGCCGGTCATGATTTGCACCCCCCCCTCTTGGCCGCTCCCGAAAAGTGGCTCCCAAACCCAGGTCCGCCAGAGGATCTCGGAGGGGATCGGCTGATCCCCGTGTGCGCCGGCCCCCGTTGCGGGAGCCCCGCCTGCCGGGGCGCCCAGCCTGGGCCATTCCGCCCCCTCGGCCACGGCCGCCGCCGAGGCGCGGGCGCCTCGGCGGCGCGCCGCGCGGCGTTGCGACGGCGGCGGCCGCGGCCGCGCGCCCCGCCCGACGCGACGGCCTGCAGCGCCGCTTGCGCCGCTGGCCACCCGTCTTGCTAGGGGCCAGGCGCCGCCGCGCAGCCCCCCCCCTCGCGGGCATGTCGTAAACGAGGGGCAAGGATCGGGGGGGCACACGCAGCGTGGGGAAGGTTTGTCGGGCGCCTTCGTCGGTTTTCGCCGCGCAGTTTATCCAATGCCACAACCGGCGTTCAGAAACACCTGAGCCATTGGATATTCTCGCGAATGGTGAGTTCAACAGCATCATCTTCGCGAAGGGAAGGTCCGCCAACGTCGGGGATGAATTCGTGAACACCATCGGGAAAGCGCAAATCCAATGCCAATCAAATGCGGCGTGGACCCGCGCCGACTAACTTGTTGAGAAGCGCGTGCCGAAGAGTTTCAAGTGCCGGTTTTCGTGGATCTCGTTGGGTTGGGGGCATGCGAAGGCAGGGATGAAAGTGGGCGCGCCCGCATGCGAGCTAACAGTTGCGAAAGAGCCAGTGGTCGCAGTGAGCGTCGTCAGCAACACTTCTAATCAATTGGGATGGGTTTTGGGCTACTTGGGATGAGTTTACAAAGAGCCCTGGAGTACAGCAGCTAGCCACTCGTGCGAATGACGCCATGGGCCGGGCTGGAAAAGGTGGGGTAAGTGTAAGAAAGGTGCCAAGTCTCGTGAATACTGACTCTGCCGGCACATCGGCAATACGAGTGCAGCTTCGACCTGTAGATGGGTATCTTTTTCATCTTGGCCGACTTCTCGTGGTAGGATTGCGCCGTGGAGTGCCGAAGGCGTCAGCCAGGACCGCTCGCGGAAGCTGTGGGGGCTCGTGAAGCATATGCAATATTTACACCTCGCAGTGCTTTGTCTGCAAGAGACGCGCTGTCGAGGCTCGTCGGGCATAATTTCGAAGGCTATATGTTCATCTTGTCAGGGCACGAGGACGATTCCAGGGCGGGCGCCGGAGTGGGGCTCATTGCGGCGCCTTGTGCTAGACATGCCGTCAAAAACGGCAGGCATTCGAAGCGCGGCGCAAGAATGTGGAGCTTGCGGTTGCGAGTAACTGGGGTCATATGGACATGAGTGACGGAGAGCGCAGAAGCAAACAAACATCACTTTGATATTCGGCGCGATTTCTTCTCTGAGCTAGAGAGTGGGCCCGCGATCTTGCCGGGGGGCCCCAGCGCAAGGCATTTGCAGAGACTCGCAGGGGAAGAGCATGTGATCGCGGACTACGCCCTCGAAAACATTCAGTCTGAATGGGATGCTGTCTCGGGCAGGAAGTTGTTGACAGCGCTCCGCGCAAGCCTGGGCGCGCGCGTTGCACGCGCCTTCTTTGGTGTTGGATCCAATGGAACAGCGACGCGCTGCGTCCCCGGCGCGCGGCCGATGGGCGAGATCCGCTCTGGCCGTTTGGGAGGCTGGGCCACGTCGTTGTCGAGCTGCATTGGCTGTCAAACATCAGTGGCGCGTGGAGCGACAGCTCGAATCTGTTGCGGGCGCGCCGCTTTGAACGTGTAGTGGGCATGACAACACATGTGCCTATGGCCAGGCGTCCCGAACTAAGCCCGCATGTGTTTGGAACGCTTTCTCGGGCGCGGGGGCGACGCATTCGTGGATCTCTGCCTTCGTGGGGGCATGGGACGCGTTGCCTCCGAGCGATTCCGTCGACGCCGAGACCGGCGCCATCTCCGCGGGTCCACATTGGAGTTTGCGATGGAGGTCGCGCCGCTGCCAGCCGCTACTCCGCGCGGGCGGTGGATCGCGCCGTGGGCACTCCATATGATTGAATTAAGAAGTGCACGCAGACTGCGTGGGGGCACCAGGGCGGAGGCAAATGTGCAGAACGAGCGCGTTTAAGTTTCCGCGCGTGCAGACAGGCAGACGCGGCGGGAAGATGCGGTCGAACGCGGGGGGCGGGGGGCAGTTCGATCTTTGCGAAGAGGCCGCCAATCACATCGCGGAAAACTATGAAACTGTAATGGGGCTCTTGTGGACAAAGAAGACAGGGCGGAAACAGTGGCAGATGCCTTGGAAAAAGAACAGCGGCAGTGCAAGTTATATGATGGCCTGGAAGAGTTCGCGCGTGCGGAGAGAGGCGAAGGGCGCCGGGGCGTCGACGTCGGGGAAATCAGCCCCTAACAACTGCGACGAGCAATCGAAGCCACGCGCAAGGAATGGGCCGCCGGAAGCGACGGCGCACCGCCGGACTTATGGCCGGCATCGCGGGCATCTGACGCAGCGTCGGGGACGATTCTTGGCCCGCGCAAGGCGCGTTGGCGCCGGGGGGGCGCGCTGGTAGAGTGGCGCGAAGCATCGATTGTGACTTCGCAAATCAATCATATGCCGATTGTGCCATTTCAAGTTCAGGCCAAACGCGGGGCTGCGTGCTTTTTTTTTTCTGGGGGGAGGGGCTCGCCACCTGATCGACGCCCCCCCTGAAGACGACGACGGGTCATCTCTTCCACGGTTACTTGATCGGGCGAAAGCTTTCGGCCGGATCAAGCTCGAGAGGCTGTTGCGTGCGCGTCGCCGCTTCCGCGCCCCGCCGCCCGCGGTCGACCGGGTCTGGGCAATCTGCAGATCCCAGACATTTCATTGTCAAGGATGGCTGCCCCAGCCCCCCACCCTGAGGGCGCGAGGCGTGGGCGTTGCCCGGGGCTGCCCACCTTCGCCGTGCATACTTGTCATTGTAACGTCGGTGCTCCGGGAAGCGGCGGGCGCCGAACTGGCCGGCAATCCGAGCGACGGCGCGACCGGGTCACGCGCGGCAGCGAAGGATTTGCGCTTCGCGGGCAACGCGATGTTATTGGCTACACCTGTGGAGGCCCCTCTAAGGCAGTGATTTGCAATTGCGCACTTTGGGAAAATCGCCAATTTGGAACTCGGCGCATCCAGGGCTAACTCATCGAGAACGCGGTCGAACGCAGCAGTGCTCAGACCCGGCGGGGTCGCGGCCACGCGCAGAAAACAAGCTGTGCATCTTGGTGGATTATTATGCGTCGGCGGGAGCCCGAAAGCAGAGCTCGCGTGCCGGCTGGGAGGAGCAAAGGGGGCGTCCGAACCACAGCAGCACAGTCTGGAACCGTGCCCATCAATGCAAACACTTCCAACCACGGACTTTTGCGTATTTTCACGGAATCTTTGCGGGATTGAGTCCTGCGTGTTGTTGAAGGCCGACATTGATACAATTGACGCCTTCCAGTCGAAGTGCGTGCGACGAGTGTGCAAACGTCAGCCTGCATGCTGCTCCTGCGTCAGCAACGCCGAAATCACGGTGGGAGCCAAAGCAGAAAGGTTGCGGACTTTATTCTTTGAGCTGAAGTTGCGTGGCAGACTTGACGAAGGATCCCGTGGGAAATTGACCAAGGAATCTGCTTTTAGAACCTGGGGCACGGGGGCAGCATGCGCGATTTTGCCGCGACGCCGGAGGAACGCGAGCGCCCGAGGGCGCTTCGTGTTCAGTGAACATCGCATGCACGCGCAGGCTTAAAACATGTTGGAGGGCGACGCGGACCGCTTGCAAGAATTGCTATTCTGTTTCTCGGCACAATGGCACGATGCTATTGGCGGCCACTGCATTCCATGGTGTCATCTGTTCATCTCAAAGCACGCATCAAGGCTGCAACGCAGAAGAGGGGTCGCAAGGAACCTCGCGTCCGCAGCGCGACTGCGAAGCAGAAGCGTATTCACATGGGGCGGTATCGGACAGAAAGCATCACGTCAATTATTCTTCGTCCTCCCCCTCCCTCTTTCCGCTGCTGATGTGGCGGCAACCAGCGGATCCGCCCCTGGCAGCGGGATTGGGGCGGTGCGCTTCGGAGTCGCGCAGCCGCCCCGGGCCAGGCGCGCGGGCCATGGGCTCATGGCGGCGCCGCGCTACCCCTTCTACATCTCGGCCGCGCTGCTCGGGGCGCCGCTCGGCGTCGACATCTCCGCGTTCCTGGCGGGCGCTCAGGTCGGCGCCTTTGACTGCGTGGAGATCGCGGTTCAGGATGTCCAGCCTGACGGACCTCGGCCTGGGGCGCTGCCCGCTGCGCCCGAGGGCGATTTCCAGGCCCGTCAAGAAGGGTGTCAAGGCGACGACGGGGGGCCAGGATATCAAGAAGGAGCGGGAGTTCTGCATGGAGAGGGCGCCGCAGGATGCGGGCAAAAGGCCAGGGGGGGCAGATGCAGGCCAAGCGGGTGGAGAGGCTGGCTACGTCTCGGAGGACAGCGACGACGCCGCCATGGCGACGCAAGTCGGAGGGCTCGGCAATCTGGATGGACTTGAACCCGATCGAGGCGGCGGAGTTCAAGCTGAAGCGCGAGATGAAGGCAGACAGCCAGGGGCAACAGGGTTCGAAGGCGGGCATGGATAAGCTGAAGGGCAAGCAGGGCCAGACCGTGGAAGCCGGCCTGGTGGGCAAGCTGACGTGCGGGACTGCCGGGCCGGAGGCTACGCACCCGGAGAGGGGCGACGAGGAGGGCGACAGTTGGGGGTCTGGGCGAAGCCCAACAGGTGGGCGAAATTCAAGTCGGTGGCGACGGCGAACCAGCAGGAGGCGCCGTGAAGACGGGCTTGGAGGAGTTCTACGTCGGGAGTGACGTGGAAGGGCCTCGTGAGTCCGCAGGTGGAGAGGGGGATGGAGGTGCAGCTCAATTCCTTGCTGGCGATGCCGTTGACGATGGCATGGGCAGCCATGCGAAGACGACGGGGGGGAATTTTTGTCAGGGGCGGCCCGACGGACGATGGTGGAGAAGGTCGTGGAGGGGCAGTGCACTTCCTCATTGGCGATGCCGGTGACGATGGCATGGGCGGCCGCGTGAAGACGACGGGGGGGATTTCGCCAGGGGCTGCCCGACGGACTCCGACGGTGGAGAATGTCGTGGAAGTGCAGGTCACTTCCTCATTGGTGATGCCGTTGGCGCAGGCGCGGGCGGCTTCGTGAAGAAGAAGAAGGGTAAGAAGGGCAAGAAGGCGAATAACAGGGTGCTGGCGGTAACCCCGCCGTTCCCTGCGCTCAGCGGCGACGCGGGGGCCGCCGGCGGCGCCGCGGGTGACTTCGGCCAGGCGGGCTTGGCGCAGCTCCTCGCGGCCCTCCGCGAGGTCGGGGCGAAGGGCCTCATCGACACTCCTGAGATGAAGGGCTTGGAGGACGCCCATCAAGCAGGGTCGACGGGGGCGACCGTCGCGGCGGCATCCTGCTCATGAGCGTGTGCGTGAAGCACTTCAGGCAGGAGCAGTTTTGGGAATTCTCGGAGAGATGACAGGTGGAGGGGGGTTGGAACTCTCTCTTCTGGCCATGGGTTCCTGTGGCCTCGGTGGCCACAGGAACCTTCGGATTCCTGTGGGCCCTGTGGGCCTCGCTCGGGTTCCTGGGGTTGGTGGCGGCCCCTTGGGGGGCCGCCTCTTCGGCCATGTTTGGAGCGTTCCTCCTCTCTCGTGGCCGGCGCCCGTAGCGGCGAGCGATCCCTCGGATAGATCGAGCTAGTCAGCGTCAGCGAGGTGACGGCAACCGCCGCGCAGCCTTGTAATCTACAGTTGCTGTCGATCGGCGCGCCCCGCATCAGCATCATTCTGCATGATTTCCAAGCCTTCTTCTATCTCTATTGCAAATTTTGCCGATGCGCCGTCTGGGGGCGGCTTTCACCTGACCTTCACTGGCCGCCGGTTTTCGGTGGTTTCGAGCTCTCCAGAAGGATCGCCTCGCCGAAAGAGTTCTGGGGGTGCCCAGATCGTCCCGAACGGCTGCCGCAGGCCCAAGTTTTGACCCGACAGCCACCAGGGACGGGGATGGGCTCAGGAAATACTGTGAGAAGATGATCCGAGGAGAGAGGAGAGAGAAATCGGTGGGGTTGGACCTTCTCGAGCCTTTTCGAGCCCCGGGTGCCTTTTGGGCAGTTCAGGAGGCCTCCAAACGACGACGGTTTTCGTCTTCGTCGTCGCCGCCGCCGCTGCCGTCGTCGTTCGGCGCCGTTCGCCGGCGTCGTCCGTCGACGTCGTTAGTCGTTCGTCGGCGGCTCCATTCGTCGGCGTGCTTCGTTTTTCGTGGACCTCGTCATCGATGCCCAAACGCCCCTGCAGACACCTCGGACTTCGGGGCCGCGCGACCCGCGCCCCGAAAGGTGTTCCTGGGCACCGTCATCGTTCCCACCGCGCTCCTGTTCGGGGAGCGCGCGCCTCGTCGTCGTAGTCGCCGTCGTCGTCGCCGTCGCCGCCGCCGCCGTCGCCGCCGCCGCCGCCGCCGCCGTCGTCGTGGTCGTCGTCGTCGTCGTCGTCGTCGTCGTCGTCGTCGTCGTCGTCGTCGTCGTCGTCGCCGTCGTCGTCGTCGTCGTCGTCGTCGTCGTCGTCGTCGTTTTCGTCGTCGTCGTCGTCGCAGGCGTCGTCGTCGTCGTCCTAGGTCTCAGATCCCTTCGCGTCGTGAGAGCAACACGACGGAACGATCTTCGTTTTCTTCGATTTTGGGGGGCCAATAATTTTAGACGTTTTGCGTAACCCCACCAGCCCATCCAGAAACGATGCCCAGAGGAATTGCCTCGATCAGGGAAGTGGGCAGCACGCAAGAGGAAGGGTCCCCCAGTGGAGGCCTCTTGGAGCGTCTTGGGGGCCTCTTGGCGGTCCCGGGCGCCTCTTAGAGCGTCTTGGGTGCGTCGGGGAGTTTTTTGGGGCCTCTTGGGGGTCTCTTGGGAGCTTTTTGGAGGCCTCTTGGGCGCCTTTTTGGGGCCTCCTGGGGCCTCTTGGGCGCCTCTTGGGGCCCTCTTGAATCGCCCTCGGGAGCCTTGGCGCTGTGTGCCTTGAATAGTTCTCTTCCATATCCCCTCTGGCGCTGGCGTGTTGCAATGGCGGTGCGCGGGCGCCCGGCGCTGCCGGCTGCCTTGGCGGCAGCTCTGCTCACGCTGGCCCTCTCCGGTCTGCCGCCAGGGGCAGTGCGCCCCCGCGCGGCGGTCAGCCACCCTAAGGACTGGCGCAGGTGCTCCAGGCGGTTCGAGCGCATTGTCGTCACGTCGGCGTACGGCCCCGCTGCCGGGGCCGATGTCCCGTGGGTGGCCGAAACCCTCGACTCCTCGTCAGCCGCGGCCGGATCCGCCTCGAGTGTGGTTGTCGGTGATTTCAATTGGCGAAAATCTTACGATTTTTTGGTCCAGGCGCCGTGGGCCGCCCCTCCGGCTCACCCCAGTACGACCCAGGGCATGGCGGCCCCTTGGGTGCGGGTGTTCCCCTCGGCTCGAAGATGCGGCCCCCCTCCCAGGGGTGCCCCACCATCTTGGGATGACGTTTGGCCTCGGGGCCCCCGCGCCCCCCCCTGTGCAGCGGGAGCGGCTTCGCCGCACTGCCCTTTACCGCTGGCTCCGCCCCCCGACGACTGAGGAACGCTGGCTGCTCGAGGCGGCCGCCGACGACTGGGGCGGCTCGCCGGCGCCCTTGCCTCCTGCGCCCCGGCCTGGCCCCGGCCCCGCCCCCGCCCCCAGGCCCAGCGACGGCGAGGATTGGGCATGCCAGGCGCTCAGTTCGTGGCACGCCCGTGCCGAGGCCGCCTTCCAGGCTGCCGTGTCCTTAGGCCTCGCCGAGGTTTCCCGGCAGCCAGAGCGCGCGAAGGGCTCACCGCCGAGCATTCGGCCGACCGCCCCAGTAGCTGCGCACCGGCCGGCCGCTTCGGTCCGGCAGCGGCGCTTGGCGCGGCTGCACCGGCAGGTGGTCCACGAGACCAGGCGCGCGGGTCACTGGGCTCCCCCCCCGCCTCCCTCCTAAGGCACTGGGCCGCTGCTGGCCGCGACGGCCTCTTGCCTGGCCGGCTCCCTCCTTGCTTAGGCGACGCGGCTGAGGCGCTGTCCAAGGCGATCGCCGCCGAGGACGCGCTGGACGCTAAGGTTTCCTCTGCAGGTTGGCGCGAGCAGTTCCGCCGCTGGGATGCTCGGTCGGCGGGGGCCTCGGCGGGGCACTTGCGACCAAGGCTACCGCCCCCGGTCGTCACCGCGGACGACATGCGCACCGCATGGGAACCGTGGTGGTGCCCTCCCGACGGCCCCGCGCCTCCGGCCGGTCGGCCGGACTGGCCGCGGGCTGCCGCGGACTGCGGGGTCCCCGCGGCAGCGCCCCTGCCGTGGAGCTCCCCTAGTCCCGAAGGGTGGGCGGAGGCCTTGTCTCAGGTTTCTGGCACCGCTGGCTTCGACGGGTGGGATTCCAGCGAGATTGGGGCGATCGGGAAACACTTGCCGCGCCTCGCCGAAGAGCTTCGTTTGGTGCTTCTCCGGGTCCTCGAAGACCCGGAGGAGTGGCCTGCCTCCCGCTCGCTGCGTTTTGCCGGACTCCGTGTCGCTGGGATCCCCAAGAGAGGGTCTGATGACGCTCGTCCGGTGGCGGTCGCCCCCGTGTGGCTTCGGGCGTGGCACACCTGCCTCCTTCGGTCCCTCCCCCCCGCCCCCGACGGCGCCTGGGGGGAAAAGGGGGCGGTTCGGTCCTTCGCGGACTGGGCCGCCGCGCCTGGCGAGGCCGGAACCGAGGTGGACATGCAGAAGGCGTACGACTCGGTCGCCCACCAGGTCGCGACCGATGCCCTTCTCCACCTAGGTGCGCATCCGGCCGTGGTGCGCTTCCTGGTGCAGACCTGGCGCGCGCCCCTGTTCTGTTCGGTGGGGGGCTGCGTTAGCGCGACCCCCTCCACCCCGTGCGGGGATTGCCGGCGGGTTGCCCATGCAGCGGGCGCACCCTGAGCTGCGTGTTGGCCCCGTGGCACACCCGGCTCCGATCCCTCTGGAATCCCACTGGGGCGTGGTCGTATGTGGACGACAGGTCGGTGAAGGCTGCGGACATGGCGGCGCGGGACGCCGCGCTCTCGACCCCCTCCTCGGTGTGGTCGAGAACCTGAGCAAGAGGCAGCTCTAGGAAGGGGCGGAAACCGCCGAGCACCGCGGCATCCGTGGGGCCGCGTCCTCGGGCCTTGTACACCCCCCGGTTCCCTTGCCTAGGGACGGCTGGGGTAAGGTGACTGAGCTAACCACGCGCCTTGCTACCCTCCCTGGGTCCGCGGAGATTCGCGAGCGCGCCTGGGTCCAGTGCGTGGCGTCCAAGTGGCGCTGGGCCGCCTTGTTCGTCTTTTCCCCGCCTGCTGAGCTCACGCGCCTGACGTTCCGTAGCGTCTCGCGCACGTGCTGCACGTGGTGGTGCCGACGCAGGTGGTGGGCGGAACGGCTGGTCCTGCACCCTGTCTTTGGGACCTCCTTGCAGGCGTTGAAAGCTGCCAACGGTTATCCTACCTCGCCGTTGTGGTTTTCCTCTGTGGGCCACCACGCCGCCTCTTTCGGGCATCGCCTTGTTCCGCATGTCCCCCTCCCCGGGGTCTGGGTGGTGCCTGGGGGGCTCGTCGATCCTCGCGCCCAGGTTGCCGTGCGCCGTGCTGCGGTCCCGCCTGCCCTGGCCGCTCTCTTGGGGTGCCCGGCCATTGCAGGAGCCTTTGGCGCTTCTGGTGAGCCTGGCCAACACGCCCTCCGGGTCCTGGCCAGGCGCCTCCTCCTGCAGCCCCGCCAAGGCGTCCAGCCGCGGCGCGACGAGGAGGGGATCGATATCATCGACATCGAGGCCTCGAGCGCCCATGCGTGGCGGGACTGGCGCCAGAGCCTCTGCCCTCAGTCTCGGTCTTTGCTCAGCGTGTGGCGGGGCGGGGCTGCCAGGGCCCCCCCCCGCCACGGCCGCGGCAAGTGCGCTAAGGCATGCCCTTGGTGCCCAGAGCTGCTCTGCTCAGCTCGGCGCCTATGGGCAGCATGCCCTCGCTTCGCTGATGCCCGCGCCCGCCTCGGCGCCGAGGTCGGCATCCCTGCGGACTGGTGGGGGGCCCAGCCCCGGATTACGGCCAAATCCGGGTGGATCACGGTGCGGGCTGGGCCCTCGGTTGGGCGCCGGGCACGGCTGCAGATTGCGGCTTGCCGCCTCGGCCTCGAGGTCCTGCGGGCCACTCCTCCCCCTCCCGCCCAGGCTTACTGCGCGGGCTCCACGGACACGCCGGCTGTGGCGGCGGCAGTGGTGGCGGCGTGGGAGGCCCCCAGAAGCCCCAGAGGCGGCCCCGGAGGCGGCGGCCCTGGCGGCGACCCCGACGGCGGCCCCGGCGGCAACAACCCGAGGGCTCCAGGCAACGACGGCGGCCAACAGCCTGGCTCCGACGACGACGCCGACGCTTTCGACGACGACGCCCCCCCACCCCGCGGCGGCCCCCTCCCCGACGACCCCCCGACGGCGGCGGAACCTGCGGCGACGCCACACTCGCCCGGCCCTCGGCGGCCCGACTCTCGCCAGTCCGCGGCGGCCCAGACCTTGACGGGGAGACGGCGGCCCTGCGACGAGGCGGCTTCGGGGTGCACGCGGCGGACCAGACGCCGGCGAGCACGCGACGACCCTGTCCCCTCCGCCCCCCCGCCCCCCTTTGGGTCCCTGGTTGGTGGTGGTCTTGGTGGTCCGTGTGGTCGCACCTGCACCGATCCTGCCGGCGTGGAGTGCCTCCGCGCCCCCATTCGCTGACCGGCGGCCTCCTGGGTCGCGCGCTGCTTTTCTTTCGCCGGCGCCACCGCTCTAGGCGGCGACGCACTTGACTTGTTTTTTCATTTTCCAAGCAGCCAGGAGCGAGGCATCCTGCTGCTTTTCAACTAGTGTGGAGCCTTGGGAGCGCTCTTCGGGCCATCTTTGAGAAAATCGATCGAACAAGAAGGGGGCATTAATTTGCGCTGCCCCTCGGGAGCCCAAAAAGTCGCCTCTTGGGGCGCTCTTGGGGTGCTCTTAGAGCGCTTTTGGGCGCTCTTGGGGCCGTCTTGGGGCTCTCTTGAGCCTCTCTTGGGGCCCTCTTGGGCCATCTTGGAGCCCTCTTGAGGCCTCGGATGGCCATGGGAAGCGAAAAGGCGGGAAAGCCCAAACCATTGATTTTCCAACGGTTTTGAACGGATTTTGGCCTGTTCGGGGCCTCTTGGGGGGGCTCTTTGGCCACTTGGAGCCGTCTTGGAGTGGTCTCGGGGCCTCTTGGAGCATCGTGGGAGCCATCTTGAGGCATCTTAGGATATCTTGAGCCTTTTTAGAGGTCCTTAGACAAATCAGTGATCTGGGCATTCTCGCCGAGGCCTCTTGGAGCGCCTGGGGTGCCTCTTGGGGGCCTCTTGGGGGCTTCTTGGGAGCCTCCTGGGAGCCTCCCCCCTCGGCCTCCTCTGCTCAGGGCTGCCGCTACCTGGGGGTCTTCGGGGCCGTCCGCAGGAAAGGACTCGGGATGAGAGAAGCCTTGGCGGCGCGCGCAGGGGGGTTGGGGGAGGGGGGGGGGCTTCTTAGAATTAGGCTGCTTCTTAGAAGGCGCCGGCCTTACATTTGTAGACGAGGCCCGCGCCTTCTAAGAAGCAGGGGTGGTTCTAAGAAGCCTTCCCCCCTCCCCATGCCCCCCCTGTGCGCGCCGCCAGAAGCCCGTCCTTGGGGAGAGGTGCAGACCTCCGGGGGTCAACCTTGGCAAATCAGAAACAACTCAGGAGGAAGAAAAGACACACGGACACATTTGATCGGCGATCCCCTTGAAAATATGGGAAAATATGGGAAGTGCGGGGGAAGACGAACACCCAGAAAATATGGGGAAATATGGAGAGTCCTGTAATTTGTGTGTGTGTGTGTGTGTTTATTTGTGTGTCCCAGGGCCCCTTCAACAACATGACGTCGGGGGTCTGGGCTCGGGGCGGTACAATCAACCCGCATCGTACGGATTAGCGACTTTCCAGGGCTACCCTTGCATCTTTGCTTCTTCGGCCCATGCTGAGCGACTTTCGCTGGCCATCCTCGTTCGAAACACGCTAACATGGCCCTCCGAGGCCTGTGCATCTGGACCGCGCATCCTTCCTATGCGGGTTGACGGTGCACGGGGCGTTCCAGAAAAAGGCTTCGCCTTCGGCGCGCCAGGCTTTAGGCGGAAGCGAGCGGAGGGCGGCAGAAGGTAAAGCGGGGGCAGGTCCGCCAGCGGGAGCTGGGCGGAAGGCCAGCGGAAGCCAGGCGAAAGGACACGCCAGTCGTTGAAAGTAGTTATTTGTGGACTCCAAGGTCCCAACTTACTTTAGGCGCCTTCCTACTTCAAGGGTCGAGCGGTTTCCTTGTTCCCTCCTCTTCTGGGGGCGGGCGGACCCCCAATCTATTTTCAATGACTTCCTACTTCATGCTTCTATCCAGCTGCCGATGGGTAAAACATGCGTGCCCGGAAGATGGCACTTTTGGGGGTCAAGGGTTTTCGGAGCCCGGCACGTCGGCCGTTCCCGGATCCGGTTCGGGGGATGCCGCAGGAGGGTGGGGTCCACCGTTTCGGTTGGGATCTTGCCACGAAGTGACCTTCTCGTGACTACGGGGGCTTGGACATCTGGGGCGGCCGGGTGGCGGTCTTGCGACCGCGGCGGGTTCGGGAAAGCCGCGCCAGTCCGCCGAGGCCTCCTGGGCCGCGGGACTGGCGACAGCCGTGCGCTGGGCAGCACCCAGCACCCAGGCGGGGCCGAGAGCAACAGTCGTGGCGGACGACAAAGGGGGTATTATGGGACGGGAGGGGGGGACGAAATCTGCTGCGTGTAGCTGGTTTCGGCCCCGCTGCCCGGTGTTCTCCTCCGGCACGAGGCGCCAGAGACGTCAGCTACGTGGGCTGCTTCGCCCCCCCCCCGCTCCCCCCCCGTTGCCACCCCCCCTCTCGCCCGCCCCGAGGCAGGCTTAGGGCGTGGGAGGCACAAAAGGGCGGTGCTTCCACCTCAGGGGGCTCCTGGAGGTGGCCAGGGAACGATCGGCTTGCTGGGCTGCCTGGCCAGGCTGCCGGAGGCGGCGCGGGCTGGCCGGCCGGGGCTGGCTGGGGTGGGCGGCGCGCGGCCGGCGGGCGGAGGTTCGGCAGGCTGCTGCGGCGTCTCGGCGACGCGGCGGCTCGGCCGGCGGCGCGCGGGGCCGAAGGCTCCTGGCGGCCCCTGGGGACCCCGGGCGTCGGAGGAGATCGCTCCACGAGTGAGCGGCCCACGCCGTGTCCGGGCACGGGCCTGCCACGAGCGAGCAAGTTGGGCGCACCAGCGCTGGAGCGTTCGCCCGCGCGCTCACCGCCGCCTCTGTCCCCGCTCCGTCCACCGCCAGCGGCAGTGGCGTCGTGCCAGGTGCAGAGTATTTTCGTCGTCCTTCTCCTCGCATGGTTGGTTTACGCCCACAGGAGGGTGGCGCGAGGGGTGTGTGATTCTAACAAGGCGGCGGGGCTTCTTAGAAGGCGTGGGCCTTCTTAGAAATACTCACGGCTTCTAAAAGGCCTCCTTAGGAGCCGCCAGGCCCTTCTAAGGACCCTGAAGCCCACCACCGTCTTGCAAGCCCATCCCGTTCGCGCCACCCCCGTGTGGGCGTCGCCAATATGGTTGGCTTGCGCAGGAGACCTTCTTCATCAAGGCCTGCGCCTGGGAGCACTACTTCATGTGGGGCCCGAAGCACTGGTGAAAGCTCTACGTGGAGGAGACAGGAGCGTGACGGAATCCGCGAGACAACCACATGGCTTTGTGCACACGGATGCAGGATCATCAGCCTGCGGCGCGGCAAACTCCACCAATTCCACCGCTGTTTCTAAACAGTGTTCTGCTTGCCGCCTCGCGTATCCCCACCATCCTGTGTCGAAATTATTCCCAGGCGAGCTGCCCAAGCGCCACGAGAAAGCAATGGGCTGGGCGCTCCATGGCTAGCTCGAGCCCAACCGGGTACGATGCCTTGGGCCACCCGTGCTTGAGGAGGGAGAGGGAGAGGGAGAGGAAGAGGAAGAGGGAGAGGGAGAGGGAGAGGGAAGGGGAGAGGGAGAGGGAGCGGGAGAGGGGGATGGAGAGGAAGAGGGAGGAGTAGGCGGAGGCGGAGGCGGCGGAGGAGGAGGAGGCGGAGGAGGAGGAGGAGGAGGAGGAGGAAGAGGAGGAGGAGGAGGAGGACGAGGAGGCGGAGGCGGAGGCGGAGGCGGAGGAGGAGGCGGCGGAGGAGGAGGAGGAGGAGGAGAGGAGGAGGCGGAGGAGGAGGAGGAGGAGGAGAGGGAGGAGGAGGAGGAGGAGGAGGAGGAGGAGGAGGGAGGAGGAGGAGGAGGAGGAGGAGGAGGAGGAGGAGGAAGAGGAAGAAGAGGAGGAGAAGGAGGAGGAGAAGGAGGAGGAGGAGGCGGATGGAGGGAGGCAGGAGGAGGGAGGAGGGAGGAGGGAGGCAGGAGGAGGGAAGAGGGAGGAGGGAAGAGGGAGGAGGGAGGAGGCAGGAGGGAGGAGGGAGGAAAAGGAGGGCGGAGGGAGGAGGGAGGAGGGAGGAGGATGAGGAGGAGGGAGGAGGGAGGAGGAGGAGGAAGAGGAGGAGGAGGCGGAGGAGGAGGAAGAGGAATAATAGTTGGAAGAGGAGACAGTAACGCCTGGCATCTGGCATCGACACAACCTTTTGTTTCTCTGCGACGCGCTCTGTATATATGTACTTCCAGCGCTCCCCCACCCCCCATGCCCCCCCGATCTCGCGTTGACCACACTTGCATTCAAGAACCCAGCTCCGTGCAGGCCCTACCCTCCGCCCTCTCTTCGCCCTGATGTTCATCCTTAGTTCTCCGATGTGTTGAATTTTTGAATACGGGGTCCCCGAGCTCTGGAACAGTTTCCCGCCGTCGTCCTCGTTGTCGCCCTCGTCGCCGCCCTGTGTCGTGTTTCCTCCTCGTCCTTGTTCTCGTTCCCGTTCCCGTTCTCGTCGTCGTCGTCGTCGTCGGCGTCATCGTCGTCGTCGTCGGCGTCGTTGTCGTCGTCGTCGTCGTCGTCGTCGTCGTCGTCGTCGTCGTCGTCGTCGTCGCAGGCGTCGTCGTCGTCGTCGTCGTCGTCGTCGTCGTCGTCGTCGTCGTCCAATGTTCGGGCACGGCGCGGCTCTGGTTCTGTGTGCAGACGCGAGGACGCTTTGGCCCTGACGAGCTCCAGCGGCGTCGACTGAGCTCCTGTGAAGCTCGGGCGCGTCGGCCTCCTCTCCGCCTCTCGCGCCGTCCCCAGACCTCCGACGATCGGGTTGCTCAGTCTGGGCGCCTTTCCTGGCCTTTGGCCTCCTGTGCCCGTTGTCCGGCCCCAGGGCCACCAAGCCTGGATCCGGGCGCACAGAGGGGCTCCGTGTTCCTTAGTTGTTTTACAGCGCTCCTTTGGTTTTCCTTTGGGTTTCCATGGATAATCGGAGTTTAACTTATGGGAAAAAGGGGCCTCGCTCCTTATTGATCGTTCCTCAGGTCAGCGCCCCGACTGTACCCTTGGGGAACGGGTCGGGAGCTCCGGGGCCGCGGACTGCACGCAACAACAAGTCGGAGGACGTCTGGGGTCGCTGTGCCGCTCCACGCCCTTCGCCGTCGGCATGCGCAGGCTCGGCATCGCTCGGACGTGTGCATTTTTCTTTCGTCGAGGACCATCGAGGAGCATCCTTTACCATTTGGCGAAAAAACCACGCAAGAAACCGAACAAGACACAGGGAATGGACGTCCGAGCGAGCAGGCCCACAAGGCGAGGCAGGCGCGTTCAGAGCGGGCCTTGCGCGACTCCCAGAACGCGGCGGGGGGCCCAAGAGAGGGAGAGCGAGGAGGCGGAGCGGGGCCCAGGGGCTGGCGTGTGCACGCCTCCCCGGCAGGCCCGAGGGGCGTCTGCACCCGAGCGGGCCTGGGCTGGGACCGGTGCTGTGGCGCAGAGGTGGGGTCCTCGCAGGACGAGGAGACGGAGGTCGAGGCGGAGGGCCTGGGCGGACATGGATGTGGAGTCGGCAGACGCCGGAGGCGGAGGCGGAGGCAGGGGAGGGGGGGGGAGCGACTTGCGAGGACGGGCTCCGCATGTGGGGCGGCGGCTGGGCAGCGGAGGTCGAGCCACTGTCTGTTTCGAGCGCTTCCGCGGGAGGCGCAGCGATTCTTGGGGGCCGGTGGCAGGTGGAGAGAAATGATCAGAGCAAAAGCTTCCTCCCCAGGCGCGTTTGCTTTTGCCGGCGTCTTGCGCCACGTTCCCGACCTGCCCAGCGGTCTTCAGCCGCACGTTGTTGACCCAATTCCGCGATGGTATGGTCACTGCGAGCGGAAACACAACAGAACCCGCGAGAATTCGCCCCCAGCCATCTGGTGGCGTCCCAACCCGGACGTGAAAATTTCGGGCGTTCAAACGGTGCGACCACACCGCGTGGCGCTTCTGAATCAGTGGGAATCTGGGGTGACCGCACGGTTTTGGGACCTGGGTCGTTCTCTGAAGACGTCTCGGGCGACTGAGGTCCCAAAACCGTGCGGTGACGGACCGTGCGGTGATGTCGTGGGGGATCCCGAGATCACCGCACGTTCTGTCACTGCATCGTCCTGGGATCCCCACGAGCTGCTCTCCCAGTCTTGCGCCCCATCTTCGCCGGGTGTACAGTCGGGTCGCTGAAGAAGGAACCTTTTCCGTTGGGGAGGGGTTCCGTGTTCCTTAATTGTTTCACAGTTTGCCTTGGGTTTTCTTTATGTTTTCGATGGGAAACCGTTAACTTATGTAAAAAAGGGGCCTCATTCCTTATTTTGGGTTCCTTAGGTCAACGCCCCGACTGTGCTCCGCCCTTGGGATCCCAAGGGCCACGGCGGCAAACCGCGCGGGCAGGCGCCGAGAGGTGCCCGGGCCCGCCCCCGATCGCTCCCGAATGAGAGGGGGTGTCCAGCTCCCCGGCCGTCACTCCCTGCTGCGCCGCGCGCCGCTCCCACTTGGCTACGCGTACCCTGACCTTCCAGGAGGGCTAAAACATAGCACCAGGACGTCGCCTTCCTAATTTCTGTGGAGGTTTGAGGCAGTCCAGATAGGTCTGCAGGTCTGGAGTGCTATTTTTTAGCGCACTGGAAGGTCAGGGTAGGAGTGACCTTTTGCCGGAGTGACCTTTTGCCGGAGCGGCCTCTGGTTGCGGCTGCAGGGCATGAGTGCCATAATGCGCTCTGCTGTCCAGGGCCAACTGCATAATCTTTGTTTTTTATTCTCTCAGAGCCCCAAACATCGGATGACCCGCTGGGGTCCCCGATCGCCTAGTACAGTGCGACAGCAGCGGCTTGCGCGTTTGGGTTTGTTTGCCCCCCCCCCCCCCCCCCCCAATGGCCCTCCACTGCCCCCCTGCAGCCGCGCACCAGAGGTCACACTCTTGCCTAGGGTCACTTTTGCGTGTAGCCGCTCCCAGGCACCCGTCGTGGTGACGCTTCGGTGACACGGGCCCCCCGACCTCTCGGCCCCGTCGCGGGCCGTCTATTGATGGCCCTGGGGCCCGGAAGCGGGCTCCCAGAGGCCAGTGACGAAGGAGGGCTGGCCGTCGGGATGTTCTGGCGACGCCGGAACCATGGGCTTCGTGCCCTCTCTCTCTCTCGGGCTCTCGGGGGCCCCTCGCCGCAGGTCGTCGGAGGACGCCGACAAGGCGCCGCGCCGTTCCCGGCCAGCCCGGGCCCAGGATCGGTGCACGGTATGTAGGCTCGCGCCGCGCGGATGCGGCGGCAACCCCCGCGCCGGCCTTCGAGGTTGAGCGTCGACCTTGGCCCGGAGCCGGCCGATGTCGCACGATCTGCGCTGTCCGCAAGCCGCGAGGGTCGCCTCATGCCGGCCAGAGGTGCCCCCCATGGATCATCCCAGTGGCTTCTAGGATGTCGCCATCCTCGCCCTGGCGGTCACACGTGAGCCTACGATGGCCCCAGAGATCCCCAAGACCACCCCGGGGCTGCCCAGAGGCCCACCCTGGCGTCGACACGAGGCGCTTCCGCCGCAGATGGCCCCCCAGGCCAAGCCTGGCAGGTGTGCGCCCCCGATCCTGGGCCCGGCATGGCCCTGGCCAGCACTGGCCTGGCGCCCTCTCGGTGCTTCCCCGGCCCGGCTCCGCCGCCACTGCGGGAGGGCGCCCCCCGCGGAGCGGGGGCGCCGCCTGCCGGGGCGCCCCCCCCGCCTGCCGGGACGGCTCTGCGGGGCCTGTCCTGTTTCAACCAGCGGAACTTTTTGATTTTTGCAGGGCGGGCTGCTCAGGCCCGGACCTCCGCCGTCGTATACTCTGCTCCGTCCCCGGCGCGCCTCCCCAGAAGTCTCGGCGCTTGGGGCTCGCCCTTGCAGGGCGGCCCGGGGCCCGGGATGCACTCGCTCCTCAGAGGAGGTTTCTCCTGTTTGGGCCTCCTCGGAGGCCCTCGTCGCCACCGCTGCATTCGCCTCGAAGTCCTGGTCAGAACGCGCCCCTGGAGCATTCTGGAGAGATCCAGGGAGCAGAGGTATCGGTACCTTTTGGTTCCCCCATTCCCCGAGCGGGGCGGGGACAGGGATACATCGTTCCAGAGCGCTCCAGAACGCTCTCAGACCGTTCCAGAGCGCTCTGGAACGGCCGCGGCGCCCGATGCATCCTCCTGATCCGCAGGATCTGGGGGATCCCCGAAGTGTCCCAGTCCGATTTTGTCCCGGCCTTGGCTTCGTCTTAATTACTGCTCAGTCCTTGCACGCCTCTCCAAGACGTCCTCAGCGCTCGGGACCCGCCATCTGGCCCCTGGGGCAGCAAGCCGCGGGGAAGGGGTCGGGATGTTTGGGGACCGCGCATTGGGGCTCGATTGTGGGCCCAGGAACAAGAAGATATGATCCGCAATGGAAGACCAGCCCAGGTGAGGCGTCGGGGCTTCCGGGGACCGCGCATTGAGTAAGTCACAACGGCGGAGGTCAGGGAATCTCTTGCGCTGCCGATGCCCGCGGCGTGAAGCCGGCCTTCAGAGCGCACGCGTTCCGGCCTTGCCGAAAGCGAATGATGCGCATTTTTTTAATTATTGGGCCTCTGGCCATTTAGGCCACGCCGATCCGAATGCGCAGGGCCTCCCCCTATGCACGAATCAGATCTGGGACAGATCTGAACCTTGTTCGACAGTAAACCCTTTTGGTGAACGGATGTTCGTGAATGTGATCGGGAATATCGTAAACACATGTTCGTGACAACGATCGCTACCATCGAAAGAGCGTCTTCTGAGTACGCTGGGAGGAAGTCAACGGAGGGAGGGGTTTCGAACCCCTCCCCTCCCAAAAGTCGGTGGGGAAAGGGTTCGAAACCTCTCCCCTCCCCCCTCCCCAGAGTCAAAGTCGGGGGCGGGGTGTTCAACATCCCCCGCTTTTTGGCGCCGGCGCTCCTTCCCTCCCAGTCGCCAGCAAACGACGACGACGACGGTGAAGACGTGTCCCGCCCGCCCGCCCGACCGACTCGCCGACGACGACGACGACGTATCCCGCCTGCCCGCCCGACCGACCCCCATTGCTGGCAAACGACGCCGACGACAACGCGACGACGACGAGGACGACGACAACCACGACGACGAGGACGACCACGACGACTTGACCTGGCCGACTGCCCATGACGACGACGTGTCCCGCGTGGCCAACGACGACGACGACGACGCTGACGACGACGACGACGACCACGACGACGACGACGACCACGACGACGAGGACGACCACGACGACGACGACGACGATGACGCCGACGCCGACGCCGCCGCCGACGACGACGACGACGATGATGCCGACGCCGACGCCGACGACGACGACGAGGACGACGACGACGACGACGACGACGACGACGACGACGACGACGGGAGGGGATGGAAGCCTATCCCCTTTTCGAGCTTCGGAAGGGGGGATGGGTTGGGGGGGGAGGATTCTAGGCGGGACGGGGGGGGAGGGGTTCCAGACAGCAGGGAGGGATTTTCGAGGGGAGGGTGGCGGTACAGAGCGGGGGAAGTTGGGATTTGAACCAGTGAAGCGTAAACAGAAGACGCTCTACGCTCGATCCTACCTACCACATGAAAGCCCGTAGCCTTAAGAATGAGAGGGAGAGAAGTATATATATAGAGAGAGAGAGAGAGAGAGAGAGAGAGAGAGGGAGAGAGAGAGAGAGAGAGTGAAGGGGAGAACAAGAGAGAGAGAGAGAGAGAATGCGAGAGAAGTGTATGGAAACGTAATCCGAGGATATACCTATACACACAGCGGGCAGGGCATCGATGACAAACATAACACCTCAGAAACTATCACATGATATAAACATACTTCATTACTACAGCACAGAGGCGAGATAGAGAGAGAGAGAGAGAGAGAAACAAATAACATAGAAAAGGAAAAGACAGGATAGAGCTGGGCCGCTCACACATCGTAAGGTGAAGGGACGGACAGAGGACAGACAGGACAAGTAGAGAGGGTATACATGACACAACAGAAGGAGCGTACCATATCAGGAGGATGAGGACTGGAGTAAACCCAGGTTGCATCATCGATGTTGAAAGGGTCCGTCCCTTCTCACCTCCGTTGAAATCGGCACCGAAACACTAAAATGGCACTACGCGTACTGGCTTGGCACCAACGCCACAGCTATGTCCAAATCGTTTGTTCTGTTCTTGATCGCTCCTCCTGGAAAATTCATTTCTCTATATATTCGTTTGATTTTGTCAAATGTTGTGAATCTCAGTTTGTTGTCGATCTCAGGTGTTTCCTGTTTATGCGGGAGGTGCGCTCTCAACCCGCGAATCAACAACTGTTTATGCGTTATGGCTATAGTGTGTGGTTTTCGCATTCGTTGTCTGCCCATTCTCTTTCAGCTTTGTGTTATCGCTTCGCTCACTCCGCCGGCTCATATTGTTGTATCATGGGTGCCGCATGTGCTGTGGTGTGCTCGTGGCGAGCGACAAGGAAGAGGAGGAGGAGGAGGAGGAGGATGAGAAGGAGGAGAAGGAGGAGTAAGAC